TTCCACGTAATTATACATATATATATATAATACTGCTGAGGCGAACCCTTTCGAAAGTTGCTCACATACGTCTCAGACAACGATGTCCATTGTCCAAAACGATGTCCAGCACGTCTCCGCATCCATTGTCCGCTGGAACGGAACGGATCGGATGCCGTCCAAGTTTCAGGATCCATGGACTGGTACTGAAGCTGGGTTCGGAGGTCCACGTGGCTCGGAAAGCAGGTGATGTGCGGATGAGAATGATACCTGTTTTCAAGCAGGGAAAGGCAGGCGGCAACAAAGCAAAAGAAATAGCAATCCTGAAAATTTGCAGATGGTTTTGCAGCATTTGGATCATGCCAGGGGTTATCAGCAAAGTCCAAAAAAAATAATGGCACATAGAAAATTATTCCCAGCCTAAAACACTCAGCTAGTCGTGAATGAATCAAACGATGTGTCGGAACGGAGGCATGGCTGTCAAACAAATCTCACCATCGCAGACATTCACGTGCCATGGCTGTCATGGTCTACTATATCGCAGGTATTGGCAGGTGACTAGGGCAGGTGCTGATACTTCTCCCACTGCCAAAACAAAACATCTTTTGTTCAAGCGCATTGGTGTGTTTCATGCAACGTCGACCCTGTGCTATGGCGAACTTCCGATGAACAGCATGCTTGTGCTGGAGTTCTTCACCGTGAAATGGACAAACATGATGCAGCGCACCACCAAGAATGTACCAAACAAGTTGTCTAACCAATGGGAAGGTCCGCTGAATACTCTCAAGGTCTCAGTTCATGATGTGTTTATCCTTGGGTACATGCTCTATTGGAAAAAAAACAATCCACGTGTGAAAAAATGCGAAGATCTGCAGGCACCATCCCACCACACGGCAGCTGCACTTCATGACCTGGGTGCAGCTGCGACCGACCAAAACAGACAAAGTCCAAGAGTCGTATTCAAAACTGGTCAAAGACGGTCGCATTCTACCGCCCTGTTTTTGTTTCCCCTGAAAAAAACGTTACCAAAAAGACAGCGTGTGGAATTATTATATGGAATACTATGGAAGGGGTAGTTTGCAGAGACTGCATCCTGAAAGGCCAATAAGACTGGAAGAGAAAGGCAGTCTGAATATTACAGCCATCTACAGCCACTCAATGTCCAATCCCTTCTTCAGCCTCGTAGTGCTACCTTCTGATACTTTCAAGACTGGAAGGTTCTTGCGTGCCCCCTATGACCATGCATCATCGCATGGCCCCCTCCAAGGAGGATCCTTGTCATCAATGAAAACAACATGAATAATATGAATTCAGCGCGTTCAGGTAATCCCGCAAGTTCATACCACGCTCAATTCCATGACTGTTCTGAATTTTAGACATGCTATAAAGACGTCCATCACCACTCTACTGTAGCTGCCTTCCCCACGCGCCCCCACCTCTTTCAGCTTCTCCGCCAGCTCCACCGCGGCCACCAGTTGCTCTGGCGCAATCTCCACCCGGTCCGGGCGCTTGTCGCTCCGTTGCCTCGGTTGGACAGCCCAGGCATAAGATCTGTCGCATGGATGGTCCGGGGATTTAAAAACACAAAAAAAATCCACTGCCAGGTGGAGAGTAATTCGATGATCTGTCGATCTGCTTGGATTCATCGAATCTTGGGCCCATCTGCGAGGCGAGTGAAGTGGGGAGCACTTCAACATACTTCAACCGGCGGAGCTTCGACCAAGGCATCTCTGATCCACATACACCAATTGAGTGCGGTCGAAAGATTTGCGAGCAACGACAACAAGAAGTCAGGAAGACAAACCTCCGAGAACGGTACAGAGCAACAAATCCTGGAAAGAAACTGAGAGAATGGAGAGAATGGAAGGGTCTTGGGAACATAGAGGGTAAAGTAAAGCCCTACATTGTAGGTTCCAAATCGTGGTGGGAATTGCTCAACCTGGCTGCTCTCAAGGATCTGCAAAAGAGCTGGAGACACAACCCGTCCTAGTCTGGTTAATGGCTTGAATGAGAGGGCCTTCAAAGAGCCTATCTGCTTAAGTGACAAGTGGTGTCAATATTAGGATTAGCAAGTACAAGTGAGGTGTGACTTGCATGTTGCACCTCCATGCTCCAATAACCTGAAGCGTCATGCAGCGAACACTGCTACTGAAAGAGTGCCCCTGATCCGATGTTAACCATTGCCCTATAGCACAAATCACTAATCTTAACTTAACAGAAACATGCGAGGCAAACTGCAGTACTGATGAGCTGTTTGAACGGTCAATTCAGAATATTTACACCAAACTAATGACAATTGGTTGACCTCGAGACCAATTCTTCAGAACTCCTATCTCCAGTGCAAGCCCAATTCAAAATACATGAGTCTACAAATTTATACAGATGCTACAAATCAATACGAAAATGGCTGTAAACGGCGAATTGGCATTTTCTCTCGAAGAGAACAAGCAAATAAGGCACTATAATCATTATATAAATAGCTGCAGACTTCTGCATGTTTCCTCAGTTTGTTGTGCGCCATTGATCCGTTGGGTTTCAAGAATTCAGCCAAACAAACGATTACAGAAAATTGTCAATCGTAAGAATGAACAATATATGTTTAGAGCTAAAATCCAGTAGAAAAAGTATAAATACTCACAGCAACAGTATCACAAGCATTTATGCCATGCTTGTCGCCAAGCACATTGCAAGGCCACTGCTAATGCATTGATTCATGTCAGGGTCTACATGCACTTGCCGATGTAGACGTTCGCAACTGCAGGGTCGTGCAAGTCTGACACGGCAGTGCAACCCCGGCGACCTCCCCCGTGCGACCCGGGTCACAAGGTCATTGATGCCCAAATCTTCACCTTCGGAGCCGTTCTGCTTCTTGCTACTAGTAGTAATGCCCCTTGTCACTAGTAGCTTCTTGCTCCTAGTAGCGATGCCCTTTGTTACTAGTAGCTTCTTGTAACACCAGACTAACACCATTTGACCACACCCAAGTCACGTGTTTGACAGTCGGCGCTGATGACGCGCTGATGTTCTTTGGTGCCAGGCCTCATGTTCCACGTCTCCCAGCAGCAAGCCCATGACCTCTTCCCGTTCAGTCATCAGCGCATGCGCCAAACACGCCTCAATGCAATCATCTACCTTCGTTCACCCAGTCGAGTTGTTTCAGCCAATGAGGCCAGCATGAGCCGAAAGAGAATACTCTTGACAAAAAAATAGACATATCACGAGCATCATGGCTGAGAGGGGTACATTTGTCGCTTGAATCAGCCTACAAAGTGTAAGCCCTCATATTGCAACCTACTGTCCCTCTCTCTCCCTGTCCCTCTCTGGAAATAGTCAGTTGAGCACCTACTGGGCAATAGAGTTCTTGGCCTGGGTTGGCAAGTCCTGAAAAAGAACAGACACAAAGAAATAGAAATGGTTTGTATTAGAGTATAATATGTACAGTACAGTTCTTTTGAAGGAAAGGTGGGTTCTGGAGGATACCATATACTGTAAGTATAAACATACCATCTGAACACAAGCGAGAAGCAAGGTACAGCAAACACTCTTTGATTCTTCGGCTTCCAAACAGAAGCTGGCCAAAGACCCCAAGTCACCAGCTTACTGATCAAAGTGCTAGTTTATGCTAGTGTAATTATTTGGTGGTTCCATCGCTTACAAGGCAGCTGGAGAGTATTGCAGTTGGTGTTGAGGGCCCAATCCGATCCCTTTCACACAGGGTCGACGCAAGAACTAGGCCATTCGCCTTCAACTTCAGATCTCCATCCCTTTGCCCCACGAATCGACAAAGCCGCCAAGCAGCGTGATAGACATGGTCCGAGATTAGAACCAGGCCATCTAGGCCGTCTCGCAGCTCCATGAAACTCGCAGCTCCATGGCACTGGAGCTCCGAAAGTGGATCAACGAAGCGGCCACCGTGACGTTCTTGCCCTCCCCCCAAAAAAATAGACAAAGAAGAAGAAGAAGAAGAAGAACAGCTCCGAAGAATTTAGAGATTCTGAGATGAACAATGGCAGTGGAGCCTCTACAAATTGTAGTCTTTCCTGTTTCTAGCGGGGCGCGGCATTTTCTATGGTATCAGTCATTGACTGCCAGTTATGCAAAGCTAGGGGATTGGCCTCTCCCGCACTCCACCGGCCTTGCAATTTGTCCCTGTCTCCTTGCCAAGATTGAGGTCTGATTCAGTCTGATCAGCTGGATGATATGTCTTCTGATTATGTTCTGTCACTTCTGTGAGTCGCACTTGGTCACAATTGGTCACTTTGTTGATGTCACGTCATGTCTGTCAGCTTCTGTGCGGGCATGGGCTGATCTTTGCAGTTGTTCATGGCTGTCTAGGAGCTGGTGCACCCAACTTTCCAATGCAGCAGCTCAGTCAGAAGCTCAACAACTCGCTGGGTGAGGTCACCCAACGACAAGCACAGTCGGAAGCATGAACAGCACAAAACGACCATGTGCAACCTGTCTCAAGACGTTCACAGAATGATCAAGATCTTGAGAATCACAGGAATTGACAAATTCAGAATGTTTCAACCTAGCAAACATGTGCACAAGGCTGTCTCCTACCAGCCCGGGGTTTCAAGCGCAATGTTTCTCGAACTCTGCTGCTCTGTTTCTTGGGGTGCATTGATCGTCTTGATAATCGGGCGAACGGCTGTATTTGGCCCAGTACTATGGACACAGTTGCACTCCATGTTGTGGCACCATGCAAGTGCACAGCAACAGGAACACACGGATGTGAGTTGCAATGCCAAGAGATGTATTCAGATGCCCATGAGCCTCTCAAAGCCTATAGTATATGTTGTCTCCTTCGCGCTGGCCTATTCTAGGGAGTACTATCCAGCAAAGTCAGCAGAAATCAGTGCCACATCACATTCAGTTGACCGGTCAACCCATGCAGGTCAACCTAGATATCACCACTACATGTTGGTAGAGTTTTCAGGTATCATAAAATTGTACAACTTGTGATTGTAATTGCATTGTTGATAGGTAGCTCGTATTGCTTTGTTGATATATTTGTTTTTGGAGTCCAATCAATGAACTATAAGTCAGTTGAAATGACTGTGGGTGAGATCCCTACTGACAGAGCCACTCAGTTCGCTCCCAAGAGAGAGAGCATGGCCTAGTCATTTCCTCAGACTCGCGACGACCCAACTCTGGCCCAAAGGCCCAGCGGTCGCGGTCGCGGTGTTCGAGAAAATAGAAAACATATCCACCATGTGGCAAGAACTGTTTATTTGTTACATGGTGTATACTTAACATATGCTTACTTGGTATATTATATGTTACATGGTGTTAATTGTTTATTTGTTGACATATGCTTACACTACACTGGCGCTACAGCTATGGTGTGTTTCCCCAAAAAGAATACACCGTGCGCCCCTTAAACCGCCAGTCTCTAGGACTCTATGCCTTTCCATGTCTGGGGACCCCACAATCCCTGGCGCGGGTGCAGTCTGGTGCCATGTAGCTCTGAGCCGCGGCAGGCGATGGCTGAGGTTGAGGTGGGGGGGCTCTTCAATATGATCATTTTGAGAGGATTCCCTGAGACCAGTCACAACAAGGCCCACAAGGTGAACAAAAACAGCCCAAATGGGGGGCGACGCGGTGAGGTTTGGGTACGCTTTTAATTTGGGAATTTTTTCATTTTTTTTCGGGAATTTTTTTCAGAATCATCCGGTTGACATTTTCCTGCTAATTGCCGCAATTGAGGGTCCTTGCACGACAAACAGCTGCCGTAGCGGGCAAAATAAAAACATTGGAATAGAGCAGGTTTCTTATTAATTCCTAGCTAATTACAGAAATTTCGGGTCCTTAGCAAAGACACAGGTGTCGCTGGCCAAATACATTGGAATAGTGCAGGTTACATATGTTTTGCTAGCTGACTAGACCAATTTGGTATATCTAGCAGAGACAGGGCTGTCGTAGCTGGCAAAAAACATTGGAATAATGCAGGTTTCTTTGTAGTTCCTAGCCAATTACATCAATGTCGCGTCCGTAGCAGAGACACAGGTGTTATAGCTGGCAAAATACATTGGAATAGTGTAGGTGACAGAGAAATTCCGACCTATCACAGAGTTTGAGAAAGAGCAAAGAGAAAGAGAACTGGCGTAGGAGACATATTTGGGGTCAGAAGGTTTGGCCCTTATTCATTGCTAGCTGAGTAGAGCCCTTCGCATCTCCACTTAGGTGGCGTTCGTTGGGTTCTGGTGGCTAAATGCAGGTGGCCATGCAAGCAACCATGCAGCCATGAGTTTGGACGACAATGAGAAGCTCTGGCGCAAATCCTTTTTACAGCGCGTGTGCCCGGCGTAGTGCGAGTAGCCGGTCACGCTGAGACAGGCCCTTAGAAGCAAGCAAGAGTATGAGGGCGCAGACAGGAGTAAGCGGAACGCATTGTGCAGCCGAAGGAACTCTCCACAAACGAGGCGAGGCCTCCAAAGACATGGCTGATCGAAAAGCTAAAGGAACATCGATAAAATTGAAGAAGTCACAAACTAGTACGAGGCCTGCGGACTGCTATCTGGACAGGCTTCCTAAGAGAGGGCAAAAGAAGAAAAGCAAAAGAGAATGGCAAATCGACAGCCCTACTACGGCACGAGTGGCGAAAGTACAGACAGCATGAGGCCCGGACCCCGCTTTGCGGCGTACTTTGTGCTCTTTTGGCCTGGGTGCTTTCGACATGTTGTTGGATGCGCCCGAAAAGGGACACGCAGGGAGCACTAAGGTGTTCACAACACTTGCTGAAGCCTCTCATGTGACAAGGAATCTCAATGGGAAGAATCTGATAGCTGAAGCCAATCGAGCATATTATGTTCCAGGCCTGCGGAGCCGTATGTGGACAGTTTTCCTGACGGAGAGGCGAAGAACCAAAAGCAAAAGCTCACACAGCCATGGGCGATAGGTTTGAGGCCCTAACCCCGCTGTGTGGCATACTTTCGGGTCTGCCTGCCTGGGCGCTTCGAACATGCGGTTGGAGGAGTACGAAAAGAAACACGCAGCAGAACTAAGGTCTTCACAACACTTGCTGATACCTCACACGCGGCTTAAAGGAAATCTCAAAAGGAGATGTTGGCTGAGAATTGCAGTGCCATATTTACAGTTCTTTCACGCAGCAGCACTAAGGTCTTCACAACGTTTGCTGACGCCTCACATCTAAGATGAAGAAAGGTAGCGAGAAGAAAATGACAGCCCGGGCCAATCGAACATGCGTAAACAGTTGGAGCCAAAAGCTTGGATGTAACAGGCCTGCGGGCCGCTATGTTGGCAGTTTTCCTCAAGGAATGCAAAAAGAAAGAAAAGCAAAAGATTACGGCAAAGCGACAGCCCTACTATGGGGAAAGTGGCGACAGTTGGGCGGTATAGGTATGAGGCCCTGACCCCGCTGTGTGGCATGTTTTCTGCTCTTCTGGCCTGCGCGCTTCAAGCATGTTGTTGGAGGCGTACGAGAAGAAACACGCAGTAGTACTAAGGTCTTCACTGCACTTGCTGACGCCTCAGGCAAAATCTTGTTGTTGGAGGCATACAAAAAGAAACAAGCAGTAGCACTAAGGTCTTCACCGCACTTGCTGATGCCTCACGCAAAATCTTGAAAGTATATGGAAATGTCAGTGAGAAGAACATGGTGGCAGCTCCAAAGTTCTTTCGCACAAATGCTCCCAGCCTCGTCTTTCAAGGTCGACATCAAAATGTGAGCTTCGGAAACCTTCATGCCGAAGATCGTGACGAAATCAGCAAAGCCAAAGGATGAAAGAGCTTGGACCGTCGCGCCGTGCCGCTTCATGGCCGGGAAGTAGTGGCCGCAGCCGGCGCGACGGAGCAATTCTCGCAGGACGGACTCCGAAGCAGACAAGGCCTGCGACTGAAGTACATCTGCGGAGAGAGGCGTGGCTGGAGAAGCTCTCGAGACAGCTGGCCCTGGAGTCAGGGTGCCACCGGGCGGACAATGCTGTGAGCGTGTCTTTGGCCGGCCCTTGGGCCGTGGACGCGGCAGCTGGACCACATCGATGGTGTTTTGGTGGAGCATGAGGGAGTACGCGTGCTCGCATGGCCCCCAGCGTGCGGCCACACCGCAATTGAAGCACAGGCAAAAAGCATGTGGATTGCGATCCGCCTCCGGGCAAAGTGGCGCGCCATGCAGTTGCCAGTACTGCTCGCAAATTGGGCCTTGCACCACCAAGTTCCAATCATCAAAGAGCTTGGCAGCCTTTTGCCACTGAAAGTGTCCGGTGGTGGACTCATACAAACCCAAGCTGTCAAGGATGCTTCGAACTTGGTCGGGGCTTGTGGCCTGCACCAGCTTGACACAGGCATTGACTGTGGAGGGCGCGAGTGGGGAGAAAGACCGTTCCTTGTATTGCTTCTTTTTCTGGTTTGGGCGTGGGTGTCAGACTGATGTGATGGGCGGCTGGAACTGGAGGTGTGGTCACCGGTGAGCTGGCCTGAGGAGGTGGCACAGGAGGTGGAGGTTCCTGTTGGCAGGAAGAGGCAGAGGCATGGCAACCACCTTCGCGGACAAAACCTCTGCCTAGTAGGGGCGGAAGAGACCCTTGTGCCACGCTCAAATCCACAAGCGGAGGCGGGACCCCCGAAGCAAGATTGGCATGACAAGGCTCGTAATGGCCAACATCAGAGTGCGCCTCTTGTGTGAAAAGCATACATGGAGTTGCCGGGAACACTTTGGCCCACTTGAGTGCGGTGGCATAAGACACAAAGAAGGGAGCACTCTGTGGCAGGAACAAGAAAGCACCCTTGGAGGGGTTGTGAGCTATGAGCAATCCATGAGGATAATGGCACGAAAGGGCTGTGACCAAAATTCTGATTTGGTGATCAGAGGTGGCTGCAGAAAGCAAGGACCAAGCGGCATCCAAATTCCAACCAAGGACTGCTTGCGCAAAGTCAACAGCACGAAGCATGAGGTGTAAAGCGGGGACGCCCGTGTGGAAGCTGCTTGCGAACCACCAGCAATGACTTGAGGTCATGCTGGTCACTGCCGAGACATTCAGCAAAGAAAGGAAAGTACGAGTCTCATGGTTCAGTGGGTCGGAGACCGGACAACTCGAACTGTGTGGTGCATGCGGCTCGTTGATTTGTTGGCATTTGCAGCGCAGACTCGAAATCCATAATTTCCACAAAGACTGCCCCTGGCGGTGCTTCACGCGTCGAATGGCAGAGCGAACAGGGGCGCTGTCCAAGTCCAAGACAGCCAGGTTCTTTGGGCACATAAACTCGGTAGAGTATGCCAGCCGAACAAATTTCGATTCCAAAGCACCACAGTCTACAGGGAGCATGGCATATCCATCCACAACAACCACGGGTCCACCAGTGAGAAAAATGTCCCCCGGGCGTGCGTGGGAGGAGGATTCGTACGATGTTGCGGCGTCAAACAAGACAGCTTCTTCCCGAAGTGTGACAAAATTGGAGCCAGCAGGCTGTGCATATGAAGGTCCAAGCCACAAAGGAGTCGAGAGCCTGAGAGAAAGAATGGCAAATCCATGGACAAAACAGGTGATGGAAGGAGAAGCTTCTGAGCACTCGACAACGAAATGGCAGGCATCACTGGCTGGAAGAAAGGCGCAACGGTCACAATGTGATAGACCTTGACCTTAGGCGTTGGCTTGTTTCTGGGGGCCTGGTGAAAGCAATCTAAGCATCAGGCTTTGAGTCTGGCTGGAATGCTGCAAAGAGGTGCGTTTGAACCAGAGACGGTGCATGAGGACGTCATAGTAAAAGTAATAATAGTAGTAGTAGTAGTAAGAGTAGTGGAAGTAATGCCGAATATCTATTTAAAAACAAACCCTTTTGTTTTGAAATTTGTGCCCTTCAAAGCCGCTACTAAACTACCAACGTTTGTGTATGAGGTTGACACAGAGACGAGATCAAAAAAAACAAAATAGAGATCAAACAAATAAAGGGACAACCAGTAGCTTTGTGGTATAAGAAAGCGACAAAGAGACGAGATAAACAAATGGACACAAAGGCAAAGTAAGGAGACAGAGAAAAGAAGAGTAAGCACACAGGCCCTTTCCCGGATGTTTGCTTAGTTAGATGGGTCGTCAAGCTGGAATGGCCACTTCCTCCTCTAAATTTTACCCTCGGGTGGCTTACCAAAGGGTGAGTCAACTTGGAATGACCACTTCCTTCTCTAAATTTTACCCCTGCCCTGCCCACAAAAGGGTGAGTCAAGCTGAAATGGCAACATCCTTCTCTAAATTTTACCCTCGGGTGGCTCACC